AAGTCTTGCAGATGATCTTATTTTCTCTTGGATTTGACAACCAAGTCATCAACATAGCACTCTACATTTTTGTGTAGCATGTCATCAAAGATCTTTTGCATTGCTCTTTGGTAGGTTGCCCCAGCATTTTTCAATCCGAAAGGCATAACTTTGTAACAGTAGATACCTTTTGGTGTACGAAAGGTGGTTAACTCTTCGTCTTCAGGTGCCATACGAATTTGGTTATATCCAGATGATCCATCTATAAAAGAAAGCGCTTCATGTCCTGTCGTTGCATCAATCATCAATTCAGTTATCGGTAAAGGAAAATCATCTTTTGGGCATGCTTCGTTTAAGTCCCGGAAATCCACACAAACTCGGATTTGACTTCCCGGATGAATCCCACTTCAATGAGTTTGTTGACTTCATTTTCAATTTGAGGGATGAGTTCAGGACGGAATCTTCGTTGCGTTTGCTTTACAGAGTGAGCTCCATTCCTCACACCTAGATGGTGGACCGCAACTTTCGGGTCTAAGCCAGGCATTTCTTTATATGACCAAGCGAAGACATCTTGGAATTTGTTGAGAAGTTGGGTGTAGGCATTCATATCATCCTCACCGAGCTCTTTGCTAACATAAACGGGTCTTGGGTGATATTCAATTCCCAAATTGATTTCTTCTAACTCGTCCACTGCAGCTTTGACCCCTTCTTCAATCACGGCTGGTGCATTTCCTGCATTTTCTTCAATCATTGTCTTTTCACCCCCTTCAGTGATGTAGTAGGATGATGCAACACTTTTTTCATTATTTTCTTTGGGTTTGGTGAAGACAACGGTTTACCATTTAGCCTTTAAAACTTTAACACAATGTATCGTCATTTTTGTTTGACGCGTCATGCGGGATGGAAAGCGGCTCTTGATTTCTTCATCCATCTCCACATATTTTGTTGATGTGGAATTCGTCTTGTTTTTCTCTTTATTAATCTTTGGTCCTAACCTTGTGAAGACAGAAGGTTTTAGCCTCTCAAAAACTGATACTCTTGCATTCTTCCCCTTTTGAGGTGAATTGGAAGACAAACTCTCGCTTTCGGTGATATAATGGTTTGCAGCCCTTTTGATAGCGATGCGTACGGGAGCTTGTGGCATGTATCCAAGACCAGCCCTCGAACCTTGGGTTTTCTGTGGTGGTAACTTTCCCAGCGGTGACTCCTCATTTGGATTATATCCAACTTTTGTGAGAAGTTTGTAGGCTTTTGGGCGAAAGCTCTTTTCCTTTTGCAATCGCATAGCCTCTATTTTTTCTTCTTTTCCGTTCCTTGTCTGTGAGAGGGAGATTGGGTTGAGTGGGGTCTTCGGAAGAGTCAAATCTTTCAGAGGCTCAATTAATGAGTCTGCAGAACCTGAGGCAGGTGTTTTTTCTTTATCTCTTGACTTTGCCCCCAAGTTTGGTTGTGGTGCCTTGACATCTTCATGTACCTTGGATTTTTTTGCTTCTGTAGAGAAGTATTTAGCATCCGCAAAGTGTGACTCGGCTTCTGCATATGGCTTTGTGTCTCCGAGAACTTTCTTTGTCACTCCATTTTGAGTGTATTTGAAGCATTGGTGCCACGTTGATGGAACTACACCATTCTCATGTATCCATGGTCTTCCCAAAAGAACGTTGAAAGATGTCTTTGCATCTATCACGTAGAACAAATGGTTAGTTTCCATTTCATCGATTAACAGTCTCAATCTTATGGTGCCAAGTGCTCTTTGCCCCTCTTGATTGTATCCATGTATTGTCATACGACTCTCGTACAACTGATCTACTGGTATTCCCAATTTTTGCAATGTGTAAAGGACATTGACTGCGGCTCCTCCGTATAAGAATATCCGGCTAATCCTTTGTTCATGGATATAACCCACGACCAGTAATGGACGATTATGGGGTTTGGATCCTAACATCAAATCTTTATCAGTGAAAGTTATCGTGGCACATTCTTCACTCGATTTGTCTCTGATCGCCTTGCCACCTTTTTCAGTAGTGAGGCAATATGATTCTTTGTCTTTTATGTCAACTTCGAGAGACCCGAACATGATTGAAGTGACATTAACAGAAACAGAATCGTCTTCAAGGGTGATCTTTCCTTCATGAGCCAACTCCATGATTTTGTCTTTAAAGACGAAACAGTTATGGATGGGATGTTCTACGACACGATGGTATTTGCAGTATCTTGGGTCATCAACCTTTCCAGCTTCCTCCAGTCTTTTTGAATTCGGAAGTTCAATGAGGTTTTCTCTGAGTAGATCGTCAAAGATGCCCGAGACGTCAGAATCCAGGAAATGATAAGTTTTGGATTGCAACTCTTTAAGGGTTGGCCTTGGCGGTCTTTCTATTTGAGTTGATTGTCTTTTCCTTGCAACTTCCTTTTCTTTACTTTGGATCTTCACTGGTGCTTTGGTCGTCGCTTTTATGGCCAAGGCTTCTTTTCAGAAAGACTCGATAGGGGTGTTGTTCCCCTTCTTTACGGCATCATATCTTTCGTATCTTTTTGCTTTTGAAGATTCTTGAACTGGTGGTCCGTGCATCCCGCTTGAAGCCATACTTAACTCCATGTCATGAGCGCGGGTAGCAAGTTCTTCGAAAGAGTGGGGTCGGATCCCTTGCAGGATGTATTTCAACCCCCAGTGCATTCCTTGGACGTACATTTCTATACCAGAGGCCTCAGACAACCGGTCTTTGCAGTTCAAGCTCAGACTCCTCAAGCGGTTGATGTATTCGATTGCTGGTTCATCTTTCCATTGACGAGTATTTGTGAGTTCTGTCATACTGACGGTTCTTTTCGTGCTGTAGAACCGGTTCAAGAACCCGTACTCCAACTGTTCCCAACTGTCGATGGAACCAGCCTCCAGGTCGATGTACCAGTCGAAGGTGTTTCTTTTTAATGACCGTACGAATTGCTTCACCAAGAGATCGCCGTATGTCCCAGCGTTGTTGCATGTTTCCATGAAGTGTGCCACATGCTGCTTTGGGTTGCCTTTGCCATCAAATTGTTGGAACTTCGGCGGTTGATATTCCAACGGCATCTTAAGGGCGTTGATCCTTGAAGTGTAAGGCTTAGCATACATATTTATTGGCCTTGAACTTCCTTCAAACTCCCTTTTGAGAGCTCTTTTGATATTCTCGTCAAGTTGGGATAGATGGATGAAGGAGTCAGATGATGCTTGAAACGGTATTGGTCCCACCATTTTTTCTTTACCGTGACGTTGATCCATGGATGTTTCTACTTCATTTTGGGCCTCTGAAGCATTCTAGTTGGTTGGTTCCGGCTTGTCTAATTTTGCAAGCAGTTTTGCGATGACATTGTCTTGTTGCTGCATGTGTTGAGACATCCCTTCAACAACTTTGGCCAGTGCAACAAGTTGGTCTTCTATGTTTGAAGCGTTCGTGGTCATCATCGGGGCATAACTCGATGCAGTCGAACGAGTTGCAACTTCTTGAAGGGTGCCCGGTGCGGAGGTACTCTTGAAGCTTTCGTCCTCCTTATAGAGTGAGTTTTGCTCTGTGATTTTCGGATGTGCATCCTCGGAAAATGACAGTACTCTTTTAGCCATACTTCGTGTCATCACTCCAGCATTCGTTGAAGCACTTGAGGTTCTTGATGTAGTAGTAGCGACTCCTTTGGCGGCGGCAGCTAGAGCAGCAGGTTTCGACATAGTGTTGCAAGTCTTGATCTTGTGGGCAGCCATTGATCGTTTGAGAATTCGACGGAAAGAGAGATGAAAGGTAGAGTTGTCCCACTGGGCGTGCCAAAAATCTGTAGACAAAAAAATTGTGTTATATTTTTATAAACACAAAATCGTACAAATTACATTTAATTTAAATATATGCGGGTCCTATTCTCTATTCGGATCCTTTGATTCTCTCTCCGGGTAGATCCATTTTTCTAATTTGGATTTGGGTGGCTTCTTTGATCCAAAGGGATTTTGGTCTGCGGTTTGACTTCGCCAGCTTTTGGAAGACTTTGGTATCCGTGTTGGCGATTTTGATCGTCGACTTTGGATTGATGCCTCTTTTAGATGATCCGATGGAATTTGATCTTTGAGAGGGGGATTTGGTGCTCCATAACGCTTTTGGCGGTGTGTCCCTTTGACTTTTGGATCGAAGAGGGCCTGGTTTGCACCTTTTATGAAAAACGCGACGAACATCTTGAAGCTTTGAGAGCGACTTTGGAGGCTCTTCCTTGGCTTTGATGGATTCCTTGATGACTTTGAGAGCTTTGATCTTTCCTCCGGCTAGGACATACGACGAAGAACGTTAACTCCATCGATTCGCCAACCAATATTGGATCATTTGTCCAAATCGGTGACTTTTCGACGAAGAACGCTTCAAAGGACACGAAGAACAATGAAGAACATTGCAGAGAGTTTAGAGAGACTTACCCTTGCGCGAGTCTTCAAATGAACTTCGGTGTTTAATAATACAAAATAAAAATAATTAATACATATGAACATTTACTCTTATTTATTTATTTTATTCCTTCGTGACCATATTATTAAAATAATAGTCAATTAGCATATTAAAAGAATAATATACTTTACTATTTGTGTAAAGAATATTACTAATATATTTTGGAATGCAATTGTATTAATAATGATATAAGTTCTGTATTTTCTGAAATTAATTTATACTCTCTTCATCCTATTTATCATGCATACATTTCTATTTTCATTCGTCCCACTTATTTTATCATTTTAAAAAAAAAATTATACATTTTAATCTCATTTTTAATATTTTATTTTTTAATTTTTTTTTTAATTTTAATTAAAATAATTAGTTATTTAATCTTAATTTATAATTACTTATTTCACAAAATAATTATTTTTATTGATATATTTTTAATTATTTACTAATTATAGCTCTTCTCTTATCGTATCTACATTCAAGATAAGATAGCGGCCTAGCGCAATATACGAAGCGACTAATATATATACATATATATATATATATGTGAATTCCAATTTCAACCTGCTTTGATTCCGATTCCGATTAACCCGCACAAGAATTGCACTGTTTCAAGCTTGCCAGAGTTTTGGAATTCCAATTTCCGACCATGATCGGGAACTGCACATTCTCGATAAGCTTTCTTCTCTATTCAACTATGGCGGAGAAGGATCCTCTTCCTCGCAATTCCGTGCCTCTGCGAATGCTATCCACGACCGGTGCCAATGCCAGATTCACTCCTTACCCTAAAAATAGAAGGCAGATGAAGCTTCCAATCCAGTGAGATTACTTCACCAAATCTTATCTGTTTCCTCTGTTTTTCTCTTGCTGGAAATCAATCTAATTTATTTATTTTTGTATTCTTCCTTAGTTCTTCATTTATCAATGACAATCCCTTGCTCATTAACCAATGAACTGTATTAACACTGCACACTGCAATTCTGAGTCTTCAATTTTCTCAAGAATGCTCCTGGATGTGCTTGCTACAGCTTTCTTATGTCTGATTTTTTACAATTACTAGTCTGTATTTGATGTGTATTGTCGTGTGCTCTCATAAGCTACATTTCGATGGCTTCAGATGAGCAAACAATCTTTAAGAATATGTGTAATTTAAACAAAAAAGCCATAGTTTCTGTGTGGTGCATTTTTAGCTTACATATTCATCAATTAAAATCTTGTGCTAATCACATTCTGTAAAACTTACATGTTGGCTTACTTTAGTAGGAGCCATCACATATACCCATTGTAATAAGAGCCAATTAATTCACAGGAGGCAGGAAAAAAGTTGCCTTTATGAAGGAGGCAAGGCCTCTCGAATGATATCAATATATTAGATGATACTTATACAATAATTATTTTTACTAATATGCTTCTTAATTACTTACTAATTATATTTTATCTAAATTTCCCTGTACACAGTAACGTGGACACTTTTAGTGGGACGAAGGGAGTACGACACTAGCTGATGCTACTAACTCTGTTTCAAGGAAAAGTGAAACTCCTATTTGACCAGGTATGTTGTGTTATCGTGGTTATTGTGTGTTTACCATACTATTTGCCTTTAAAGCAGGTCTACGGTTCTGTATTTTCTCATATAATTTTAAATAGGTGTTTGGAGATTAAGTAACTCATCTTTTATATCCATGCATTCCCTTATTTCCTCTGCTATGCATGTTGATCCTTGTTTTGTCGAAACTAAATTGTAGAGAAGAATGATGGCAGCAATGTAATGCAAGCACAATGGTTGTGTCCAATAATCTCAATAACGCGAGCTACATACCTGCCTATTGCAAAGTTTCTGCGATTGTGGGTGCTTTCACCTCTGCTTATGTTGGCTTTTCCCTATGAGCAAGAAGCTTAAAATACCAACAAATAACCCTCAGTCAGATGTAGTTTTCTCATGCTTCTTGATCATACTCAGGTATTGCTGATTCTTTACGAGATAATCAAGGGCAAGAGTAGCAAAATAAATAATTACAAAATAGCGGGAATAGATAGAAATTTGGGGCCATCATTTCTAGTAGATAGGGTGCCTGAGAAGGTCATATACCTGAAAGTTGAATCAAAAAAGTTTTTAAATTTATGCTTTGGTAAATCGTTGACTATTTAACTGGAGAACATTTCTTCCCAGGAAAACTGCATCTTGCTGGGATATAAATGCAGTTTCATGTTGAAAATTTGGTGTTGTGATCTTAAGAGTTGAAGTTTTCAAAAATCTCTGCAAGAAGAGATGCTGTTGTTCGTGTTGGTTAAACATTTTCCATTGTGGAATAAACACTGTCCTGGATTGAAGATCTGTATCGTAGTTCTTGATTCATCATGTAGACAGTGTATGCAGAATTTATGTATGGATTTGCTTGGTTAAGCATATGACCAAAGGTTGTGGACTAGGTGGGCATTGCTGAAACTTTGAGCGTTGCAGTTGTAATTTGGTACTTGTATTACATTTTTACACACCGACACTTTCTATGTTGAGAAAGTTTCACGTTTTAGGTTTGTCATCATTTTGTGAATCTGTGGCTTTTTTTATACGTTCTTATGTTATATTCAGTTTGTGTAACCAAATAATAACTGTTACGTAGAAAAATCATATTTGCCAGAATAATTTGATACTATAAATTATTTATTCATTTATGTTGTAATTCAAGCAGGACTCTTGTTTAATAGATGTCTCTAAAATTTAATTCTTAAATACATTTTTATGCTTTTATAAACGTGTTAACACTTTTATTATTTTTTTGTTTGACTTATTGAAGGCATTATTTCTGGCTCCAATTTTTGATTTTGGAATCTAAAAGAGGGTGCTATATATACCCCCTCCATCCGCATAGAACATCCCTAGTTTGCGATTAGATTTCACATTTTCATTTTCGCTTCTGTCTTCATAGGTAGGTTTCTTGTCTTTCTAGATTATATTGCTTGATGTTGCTGAGAATTTTACACCTTAAATCCAATATATATATATATATATATTTTGTCATGTTGCTTTTGTTGTATTTTCACTATGCCTTGTATTTGAATGAGTTTTTACGATCTATTTTTTTCTTGTCTTGTTTCGATAGATCTTTTATCTATGGAATCGTCGTAATTTTTCATATTTATTGAGTTATGTTGTAAGTGAATCTTACTACTTCTCATTTGTTTAGTTATATTGATTTGAGTCGTATTTTTGATTCAATATTCTTGTTCTTAAATAAATAAATATAGTAGAAATAGATAGAACATTGGGGCCTTAACTTTTGTAGGTGTTTCCATTAGACGGGGAGAATGTCATATATGTTAAAGTTGAAACAAGAATGTTTTTAAATTCATCTCATGGTAGGCATTGACTATTTGTCAGGAGAACAATCTTCCACGAAAAATGCACCTGGCTAGGATATAAATGCAGTTCCATTCTGAATTTTTTTTTTTTTTGGTCTTAAGAAATGAAGTTATTCAAAGTGCAAATCTTGCAAGAAGGGATGCTGTTGTTCATGTTGTAGTCCTTGATATGTCATTTATAAATGTATGCATAATTAATGTATCAATATGCTTGGTTCAACCATACAACCAAAGGCTTTAGACTAGGTGAGCATTGCTGAAACTTTGATTGTTGCAATTTGAATTTGGTACTTGGATTGCATTTCACATACGTTTCTCTTTTCAACTTGGGAGAAAGTTTCACATTTTAGGATTGTCATTGTTTTGTGAATTTGTGGCTGTTCTTATATTATCTTGCCTATGTCTCACTTTATTTGCTAGTTTTTTTTTGTTCTGGCACGACATTTCAGGTGGTATAATTTTGATAGAGTTTTGACCATTTTGCCTTTATTTTTCATTTTTGATGATTTTATAAATTTTATTGATAAGAAGAAAGATAAAATTGAGTATAAAGTAAAGGAAGTTGTAAAACATATTGGAACATCTCAAAATATAAATAATAGCAAACAAATTGAGACGAAGGGGTATTACTTATGGTATAACTGGTTTGTGTAATGAAATAATAGTTATACTATTATGTTGAAAGATCACATTTGTCACAATGATGGGATACTATTAATTATACATCATCTATGTTGTCAATCAAACATGGCCCTTATACGTTTTTTATACTTTTAAAAACGTGTTTGCGCTTTTATATTTTATTTTTGAATTTATCGAAGGCATTTTTCCATCCCCGACTTTAATTTTGGAAGTCAAAACCTAATTTGAAACAAGGGGTGCTATATATACCCCCTGATATCCGCTTACGGCAGCCCTACCCTCTAATTAGCTTTGAAATTTTCATCGAGTCTTCCGTTTCTTCTCCTAAAATATGTTTTTAGCTTTTCTAGATTACAATTGCAGGCAGGATTTAGGAAGTTTTCTTGCCCAAATAAAAACCGTTATGTTAAAAATTCGTATTTTTCAGAAACTTAGAATAATAACTATTAATTATTAATCATTATGTTGTCAATCAAGCACGACTCTTGTTTAATATGTGTCTCAAATTTAATCGTTCAATACGTCTTTATGCTTTTATAAACGTGTTTGCGCTTTTATTATTTTTTGTTTGCCTTTACTGTAGGCTTTTTTTTCCGCCTCCAGTTTTCGATTTGGAAGCTAAATCTAATCTGCAAAATGGGGTGCTATATGTACCCCCAGCATCCACACGCAAAGAAATCCTTAGTTTGCGATAAGATTTCACATTTCATTTTTGTGTCTGTCTCCAAAGGTATGTCCCCGGTCTTTCTAGATTATATTACTTTATGTCGCTGAGAGTTTTTGCACCTTAAAGTCAATATATATATATATATATTTCATGTTGCTTTTTGTTGTATTCTTCACCTATGCCTTGTGTTTGACCTTGTGTTTGAATGAGTTTTTACGATCTACTTTTTTCTTATCTTGTTTTGATGTATCTTTTATCTATGAATTCATTTTTTGGTATGGATTTACGAGTTTAATATTTTATATTGGTGTACTAAGTGATGTTGCTTGGGAAGCTACGACTTGGCGCTAGATTGGGTGGATCTATGAATATATACAAGTTATATATGATTTTATTTCTTGCTTAATATGGAATAAGTGTTGGAATTTCTCAAAACATGATGAATTTTCTTTGAATGATTAATTTTTATAATAATATCTAGCATACGGATCAGGAGTAAAGTGCCAATGAAATCTATCCAAAAACAGTGTGATGATACCTTTGCAACAAGGTTCCCCTTGAGTTCTGTTTTTTATTTTATTTTATTTTATTTTTTAAATAAAAACTATATGAATCTTGATATAGAGGTTGTTTCAAGTCTTGAATATTGTACTATAGCTAGGTAGTTCATTTAAATCTAAATATTCAATTAAGTTTAAGATTTAAATGATTTTGGAGTACCATTGATTCATAGACAATTTCAACTGCTTGTTTACTGGTGTGCTCTTAGTGCATTCTTGAATATTCTTGTTTTCATTGATCTTGACTTTTTATCTTATATGGATTTCATGATAGTTCTTGTAACTTTTAGAATTATCAAGGTGAAAAAGCAAAAAAATGGCCTATAGAGGACTAGTGCTTCATGAGGGCTCCATATCTCAACCTCTGCAGGAGTTATCACCTTCAACTCCCTGTTTTGTGCATGTACTGCATGATGCCGACTTCTCCCAGTCACTGGTACAAACTCTCTCATCCATGTTGAAGTTTGGTCTATTTTTAAGTCTTAACGTTTGGTATGTATACTTGGTTTCATTATGATGCTTGTAATAACATGGTAATGTGTATCAAATGTTATTATGGGATGAAAAAATCATTTGGCGAACAATTACTGCACGCAAAGTAATTGATCCTTTAAGCAAGTATCCTCTTTACCACTTGCTAACTTGTTGAGTACTAAATGATTACTTTTTCGGATCTCTAGTAGCCAACCTGTTGGTTTATGTAGATAAATTCTTCTATGTGATTTCTGCAATTTTTTTTGTTTAGGCACTAATTTTGATGTTATTGCAGCACTTGCCAGCTTCATTTGCTCCAAGAGTGAAGCACTTGGTGGGCCTAGAAGTCCTACTTGAGGATATATATGTGGGCAGATATGGCCTGTGACTCTTTCCTATGTCGAAAATACATTATCATTTGCGGAGGGATGGAGAAAGTTTCATAGAAGCCATGATCTCGAGAAGGGATGTTCCTTAGTATTTAGGTACGTAAAGGAGGGACATTTTTCTGTTCAAATATATGACCCAAGTGGCTGTGAAAGAACCTGCTTTATCTATCCAATGCGCCTGCTGAACAATGATGCTTGGACTCATGCTGGGGTTGTTTCCAATATCCATTATGGTATGATAACTTGCACCTCTCTACTCATTTCCTCTAGTTTTCTAATGTTGAAGATAGATACCATAGTGTTCTATTTTAGTATATATTCATTGGCAAAATTGATATTGTTGTGTGGATTTGTTTGTCAAATATTTTGAAACATGTGCTCTAACCATTGGTTTTTTTCAAAGTATAACCTTGTGAAAAAAGAAATGTATCTGTGGAAAAATCGTAACTAAAATCGAAAATTTTCAGATCTGGTTTCAATTTCATAATTTGTAAATCCAGCATGTTTAGGATTATTTATTTTTAAAAAAATATATCAAAATGAATCGAGAAGATTTAATGCATGCATTTTTGTTTCTATTAGTTTAGTTGCATTCATAAGTTGGATTGTAACCTTTTTATATATTAAGAGCTGTAACTTTTGTAATGTAACTTGTAAGAATAAAATAAATTATAATTTGAATATGAAAAGCATTTGAATTTTGCATGCTAATTTTTGTATTTTGTAAATTTTATTGTAGCAGCTTATAAAGTAATTTTTTTTTTCTAAATAAATATATAATTGAAAAAAAAATCAAAATGATTGGAAATAGTACCTATAAAGAAGGAAACGGCAGCTTGCCATTTTGACAAACTGTTGGTTCAAACCATTTTCGCATGCCTACTGCTGTGTGAGAGTAATCTATAGATCACAACATGTTTTTAGTCTTCACTGCATTGTGTTTTTCTCTTTCTGACTTTTGTTTTGTTGCTATAGTAAATTGACTAATGTTTATTGTTGTGTGTTCTCATGACCAAAATGTGAATATGCAAATAATCTATTCTGAGTTGATCTTGAAACACTAATATTATAGCTTTCTTTCGTGCATTTTACTTTTCCCTTCGATTCAGATTTTGTGCAAATTATCTTCCTTATGAAGTTGCATATGGAGCTTCTTATATGCCCAAAGCTAATTTATTGTCTGCATAATTATAATTTGCAAGATGTGGGAAATGATAAAGCAAAAAGAAACGACAAAGGAAAGGAGCCAATCATAGGAAGGAAACGGGGATTCATTGATCTTGATGGAGCCCCATCTAGTGCCAGCCACCGCATTGCAAAACTGACCCCTGTGAGGCTGATGATGCCGCCACCTGGTACACTGTCAACTTACTTTATTTCGCCATTTTCTTACATATGATAATCCAAAGCATTCTAAATTCTTGCACTTGCTAATTGAACGGTGTTGATACATTTTGCTTAGTTTTTGCTTTCTATTTTTTCATTCTTATTGGTTTAGACTACGCTAAAACTAATATAGATTTTATGCCATATAGCTGTCAATATTTCCTTAGTTTAATCTTCCATTTCCTGTATTTAGGATTCAACAAGCCTATAGAAAGTTTTCCCAATGAGAGAAATGTTGCCTTGGGACTTGGAAGCATCCCAATGGATAGAGAGGGAGGGGGTTCCAAAGAAGCCCAATCATCTCCGAATAGGAGCTCGATGAATCCGTCCAGTTGGAAGGCTTTCCCCCCCTAGACCACCGGGATTTTGATGTAGGTTTTGCGTGGGAAACAAGGTGCTGCTTGTTTTGTCTCAAAAATATTTAAGTAAGTTTCATACAATGTTTGATCACATGTTGGGGTTTTTTGGGTTTAGTTGGAATTGAGGCTTTTTGCTTCCCATTTATTGGGTTATGTTGAGATTGAAATTGAGCTGTGCTGATTTCTATTTGTTGGGTATATTGGAATTGAAATTGAGTTGTAATGATTCTCATTTGTTGGTTTACATTGCAAGTAAGTAGTATTGCTTCATACTAATTGAGTTAGGTTGTAAGCGAATTGTACTACTTCTCATTAGTTGAGTTATATTGGATTTGAATCGGCATTTTTTATTCAATATTCTTGTTTTTAGATTTTGTCAGGGAAAGAAGTTCTTATTCCCCCTATCTACCAGAGAAACTTTCTCGCGAGTCACAGGATAAGGACCATTCCCATTAAAATCTATCAATCGACATCTGATGTGTAAATAATGACAGATGTGTACCATAGTCCAAATATGGATGAGGAGGCATGGAATACATATGATGAGCCTACCACAATGGTTAAAGAGTATTGCCATTCATTCATTTGGTGTTGCTTAGCCATACCACAATTGATCTATCATCTTGGCACAAGAGTGTGTTAATATAACATAAATGCATGGTATGAATTGACAATCCAAGTCATACTGCTTCCCATTATTGCGTTATCTTGAAATTGTGCCCTATTGTTTGCTTTCCATTTTTTATGCAAGTTTTGGGACAAAATTTCCTTCTTTTATATATATTTGCTTCCCACGCAAATAATAGTTGAACTTTTGAAGGCAGGAAGCTTGGCGTTGTTTTGGAATTCCAATTTTCAACCATGATTGGGAAATGCACATACTCAAGAACTTTTCTTCTCTATTCAACCATGGCAGAGGATTCTGTTCCTCGCAAGTCAGCTCTCAAACTCAAATTAATCCTTGATCCCTACCCTACTTGTGTACTGTGGTGCTGCAGATGCAACCTAAAACAAAGGCAGGTGAAACTTCCAATTCATCCAGTATAGCGAGATAGCTTCACCACTCTTAATCAGTTTCCTCTGTTTTTCCAATGCTTGAAATGAATCTGATGTATTTTTTTCATTTATCAATGACAATAAATTCTCATTAAAAAATGACCGGTTTTAGCACTACACACTGCCCCTTCAATTTTCACAAGAATGCTCGTAGGTGTGCGTGTTTTGTGTATCTCTTTCTTATGTCTGATTTGTTACAATTACTAGTCTGAATTTGATGGGTATTGTCAAGTGGTTTCATAAGTTACATTTGGTATGAAGCCATAGTTTTTGTCTGATGAACTTTTAGTTTACATATTCATCGATTCAAATCTTGGGATTCTGTACAAGTTAAGTATTGGTTTATTGTAATAAGAGCCATCTCATATACCCTTTGTAAGAAGAACCAATTAATTCACAGGATGCAGGAAAAATGCTGACATTATGAAGGAGGCAGGGCCTCTCGAATGATATCGATATATTAGATGATACAACAGTAGCTGATGCTACCAATTCCATTTTAGAAAAAGTGAAACTCCTATTTTTCCAGGGATATTGTGTTATCGTGGTATTGTGCATCTACTATACAATTTGACTTTAAAGTAGTCCTAAAGGTTCTGCATGCTGTGTAATCTCAATCACACGAGCTACTTACCTGCCTATTGCAAAGTTTATGCGATTATAGTTGATTTCACCCCTGCAAGAAACTTAGTTCAAAAACCAACAAATCCAATGTGGTTTTCCCGTGCTTCTTGATTGTACTGATTCATTACTGATTCATTACGAAATAATAAGGCCAAGAGTAGCAAAATAAGTAAATAAAGAAATAAAATTAGAGGGAATAGATAGAAAATTGGGGCCATTACTTCTGTAGGCATTTCCAGTAGACAGGGAGAGAGTCCCTGATAAGGTATTTATCTGAAAGTTGAAACAAAAAAGTTTTTAAATTCATACTGTGGTAAAGCATTGACTATTTAACTGGAGAACATTTTTCCAAGGAAAACTGCATCTAGCTGCGATATAAATGCAGTTTCATGTTGAAAATTGGTGTTTTGATCTTAAGAGTTGGAAATTTTCAACAGCTCAAATCTCTGCAAGAAGGGATGATGTTGTTCATGTTGGTTAAACATTTCCTATTGTGAGATAAACATTGTTCTAGATTGAAGATCTGTATCATAGTTCTTGATTTATCATGTAGGCAGTGTACATCATTTATGTATGATTTTTCTTGGTTCAAGTATACAACCAAAGGTTGTGGACTAGGTGGCATTGATGAAATTTTGATCTTTTCAGTTGTAAAATGGTACTTGTATTGCATTTTTACATACCAACACTTTCCATGGTGAGAAAGCTTCACGTTTTAGGTTTTTCGTCATTTTGTGAATGTGTGGTTTTTCATATTTACTTATGTTATATTCAATTCATGTAATCAAATAATAACTGTTATGTTGAAAAATTATATTTGTAAGAATAATTTAATGCTATCAATTATTCATTATTTATGTTGTTAATCAAGCACGACTCAAGTTTAATAGGTGTGTCTAAAATTTAATTGTTAAATACGCTTTTATGCTTTTATAAGCGTGTTTGCGCATTTATTATTTTTTTGTTTGCCTTTATCAAAGCCATTTTTGCCGCCTCCAGTTTACAATTTTGGAACTAAACCCTAATCTAAAATATGGGATGCTATATATACCCTTGCATCCCTATAGAAGTTCCGTAGTCTGCGATTCGATTTCACCTAAAGCTTTCGTCTTCATAGGTATGTTTCTGGTCTTTCTAGATTATATTGCTCGATGTCGCTGAGATTTTTTGCACCTTAAATCCAATATATATATATTTTGTCATGTTGCTTTTGTTGTATTTTTCTCTATGCCTTGTATTTGACTCTTGTGCTGAATGAGTTTTTACAATCTACTTTTTTATTGTCTTGTTTTGATAGATCTTTTTTCTATGGAATCATTCTTGGTATAGATTTATGAGTGAAATTCTTTAAATTGGTGTACCGTTTGATACTGTTTGGGAACTATGATTTGCGCTATATTGGATGGATCTATGTATATATCTAAGTTATTTTGATTTTTTTTTCCTTGATTTAGATGGTTGAAATTTCTAAAAGGGTGATGAACTTGCTTTGAATGGTAACTTTTAAAATAATTTATAACGTATGGATTGTGAGTAAAGTGTCGTTGAAATCATTAACAATACATAAACACACATGTTTGTTGTCATGTGCCTTATGGGGATACCTTTGCAGCAATGTGCTTCTTGATTTTTTTTTTTAAATAAAAAGAAAAACCATGAATCTATGTTGAGAAAATTATGAAACTTGATATAGAGGTTTTTTTTTCAAGTCATGGATATTGTACTCTCGGTATGTAGTTCATTTTGATTTGAATATTCAAATAAGTTTAAGATTCAAATGATTTTGGAGTGTCATTGATTCAGAGGCAATTTCAAGTGCTTTTTTTTTTAGGTGTGGTCTTAGTGTATTCTTGAATATTCTTATTTACATTGATCCTGACTTTTTTGGCTTACATGTATTTCATGAGACTTCTCATAACTTTTAGAATACTCGAGGTTAAAAAATAAAAAGATGGCCTATAGAATGCTTCATGAGGGCTCTATATCTCAACTGATGGATTTCACTTTCAATTCCCTGTTTTGTGCTAGTACTGCATGATGCCGACCTTTCACAGTCATTGCTACTCTCTCTCTTCAATGTCTTTTTTTGATCTATTTTTTAGTCTTAACCTTTGGGATATACTTGGTTTCATAATGAATCTTGTAATAACTTGGTAATGTGTAGTGAATGTTATTGCTGGACGAAAGCATTATTTGGCGAACAATTATTGAACGCTAAATAATTGATCCCATTAAGTGAGTACCTCTTAACACTCGCCAACTTGTTGAGCACTAAATAATTACTTCTTGAGATTCCTAGCAGCCAATGTTTTACTTTATGCAGATCAAATCCTTCTATGTGATTTCTACAGTTTTATTTATTTATTTTTATGCATTTCTCTTCATAATAATTATGATATTCTTGCAGCCCTTGCCATATTCATTTGCTCCAAGAGTGGAGCACTTGGTGGGCCAAGAAAAGAAATCCTGCTTGAGGATTTATGTGGGCAGATAGGTCGTCTGACGCTTTCCTATGTTGATAACATATTATCATTTGCGGAGGGATGTAACCAGTTTTATAGGAACTGCGATTTCAAGAAAGGATGTTCCTTGGTATTTAGTTATGTTGAAGAGACATTTTTCTGTTCAAATATATGACCCAAGTGGCTGTGAAAGAACCTGGCTTATCCATCCAATGCGCCAGCCGAACAATGATCCTTTCACTCATTGTGGGGTTGTTTCCATTATCCCTTTTGGTATGATAACTTGTACCTCTCTACTAATTTTCTCTAGTTTTCTAATTTTGAAGATAAATATCATAGTGTTCTATTTTAGTATATATTCTCATAGGCAAAATTGATATTGTCGTGTAGATTTGTTGGTCAAATATTTTGAAACCCGTGCTTCAAACCACTAGTTTTTTAGTTCAAAGTGTAACAGCGTGATAAAAGAAATGTAACTATAGGAAATTCGTAACTAAAACCGAAATTTTTAAGATTTGATTTCAGTTTCATTTGTAAATCCAGCGTGTTTAGGACTATTTGTTTTAAATATATAGATCAAAATGAATGGAGAAGATTTAATGCATGCATTTTTGTATCTATTATTTTAGTTGTATGGAGTTTATTATAGCTATTTGTGTGCATTTTATTTCCCTTTAACAATTCAATCTTTGTGCAAATTATATACCTTTTGAAGTTGCATATGGGGTTTATTTTGTGGTATGGTATCAACAAAAGCTAATTTTGTATCCATGGTATAATTTATAAGATGCAAGAGACGGGAAAGAAATTGAAAAAGGAAAAGAGCCAATCATAGGAAGGAAATGAGGATCTATTCATCTTGATGCAACCTCGTGCTAGCCACTCAAAAGACCCTATTAGCCCAATGATGCCGCCACTTGGTATATTTTTTTCTTTGTTTTATTTTATTTTTTCTTTACATTTAATCTTTAAAAGCATCTGATTTCTTGCATTTGTAATTGACCGGAGCTGACAATGTCGAGATATTTTTGTTACTATTTACTTTTCATCTTATTATCCTATTGGTTTTAACTGCATTTGAGAAAAATCAATATAAATTGAATGGTTTTCAATCTTTCTTTAGTTTAATATTCCAACTAAATGGTTTAGGATTTAGCAAGTCGATGGGAAATATCTCCCTAGAAAGAATGGATGCCTCCAAACTCCATATTACGGGTTAACTTTAATCCGTCGAAGTAACTGTCTGCCCTTAGCGAGGACATGACGAGGATGTCAAGGTTTAGGTGAGGGAGAATTTTCACGATCGCGTACAGTGATTTAGTGATTTGTTCATACTTAGAATTCTCAGTTATGCAAAGAAATTCACTCAAACTTGGTGGCGGAAGGTTCTAGACTTGGAATACTCCCTAGCATATTCTGACCGTTTTGAAAGAGGAATATTCCTTAGCATATTTAGACTATTTGACAAGGAATATTCCATAGCATATTCTGATCATTTTGAAACGAGAATATTCCCTAGTATATTCAGAATTATTTTAGAAAGTATTATAAAATCGTTGTACATTGTAGAATAATCTTGTGGAGTCCTTGACTTATAAAAGGGCCTCCACCCCCTCGTTTGTATTCACTTCAGCATTGGCAATCCACCCCTCATAATTTCTCCCCATACTTTCTCTCTCTAGCTGCTTTTATCTCTGAAAGCTTTTGGCATTTGTGGTGCTTTGCCGAGTCGGGAAGCTTGCCTAAGTAGCCGGCGGAGTGAGTTGCTAAGGGGACGTACGGTTACTTCGATGATTGAAGTTAACCTGTGACACGCGTCCTGGTATAGTGTTTTCTTTCTCAATTTTCCAATTTTCTTTACATCCGATCTTTTATATGTCGTATGGTTTTCAACATTTTTTTAGTTTAATATTTCATCTCAATGGTTTAGAATTTAGCAACCCGATGGGAGGTATCTCCGAGGAGAGAATGGGTGTCTCCAGACCCGTAATAGAGAATGGTTTCATGGGTTATCATTTATTAAAGATTCGATTGATTTCTATCCTAACAATGGATGCCATCCATTTAGAATAGGAACTCTATGGATCAATCCAACTGTAAGCCTTTTTCTCCAAACCTTCAGTTCAATGCTTAGAAACAGGGTGTTGTGTCCTTTTTTTTTTTTTTTTTAGACTATTTGAGTGATTTTTGTGTTGTATTTGATCAAATGTGTGTTTATATAGGCTGTGCTGGAATTGATTATTTTGCTTTCTGGCCATTGGGTTATGTTGTAATTAAATTTTTTATTGTTATTTTAAATTTGATATATTCTAATATTAATATGTTTTTCTTTATTTATTAGGTAATCATCTTATTTTATTTTCTTAAAGACAATTTATAAAATATTCTAAATGAAATGTAAGATAAAAATAATTTGTGTTTCTTATTCCGGGGACCAACTACAAGAACATCTTATCTCTATCAAAGACACTGTTGCATCAAGTTCTCAATCGCATTCAATTTTATTTATTTATTTATTTTTAAAATATCAACAATCTATCAATATAATGCACATGAATAAAAAATAAATTATAAAAAATAAATTGGGCTGCATTCATTTTATGATAATTTACTTCAATTTAGATACCTTCAAATTAATATAGTTAATTCAGCCGTATTAATATAGATAATTAAACACACCAATGTTTACATATATTGTAAGAAAATATATGTTAAAAAAAATAATAATAATAAAAAATTGGGGTAAGAGAATACATTAATTTAGTTAATTTTTAACCTAGACAAAAATATTTTCAATATTTATGTATGAAGATCATACAATAGAATTACAATTAGTTAAAACAAAATATAATTTAGTTAATATGAATAAAATTAAATGAGTGGATGATGATAATGATAATGAACTGAGAGTTAATAAGTTAAAGTTAATTAAATATAATAGACTGTTTAATTAACAAAAAAAATCATGCAATTATTGTTTTATTCTACTTAAATAGGATAAAGCCCATTATGTTTATTAAATAATATATAAATTGAAAATCATTTTCATTTTTTATTTTTTTGTGAGTATATTTTTGTCTTTTCAATTTTATTTCGTATATCATATAGTATATAATAAAAATAAAGAAATCATATCTAATAATGTCATTAAATAATAATAATAATAATAATAATAATAATAATAATAATAATTGTTGTCGTAAAAAAATCGCCACCGACGGCTTAATCGGAAAAGCCTGTCGGAATTGATTTGTTCGAAGGATTCCCCGGCCTCCTCAAGAAAGGATCCGGACTATCTCGCGATATCCGAGTAATTAACGAAAAAAGAAGGTAAATTGAGCAAGAATGAAGCTGAAAATTAAAATTGAAATTAATCGAAGAAAACTGTAAAAATTCTAAAAAAGTACTGTGGAAATTAAATTGCAAAGAAAAAATTAATGTTGAAGAAGATGATATATTTCACAGTCTCTTCTTTTTCCCTTTTATTCTCTAATCCTTGTTTGGATAAGGTTTACTTCCTTGTTTTTCTTCAACCTCCCCCAAATTCTTCTCGCTTTCAAATTACGCTTTATCCGTTTCTCTTTTGACCAAGTATTTCACTGATTTGGGCCTTCTTGTGGGCCGCGTTTCTCCCTAGGTCGGGCTCCCAATATGGATTGGGCCTTGTAGTTGAGTTTTGGAGTGTACAAATGCCCCCCACAAAACTATCTGGGTAAAAAATTAATTTGGTCTTCAGATAGTTTTGTTTCGCGCGTACTGTTCCATCTTTTGGCGTTGCCCCAAAACTTTACTCTGTCACCTCCTTTCCCTCTCCTTTCACTCGCGAGAAAAACCCTGATTCTTCGAGCTCATTCTTCAAGCTCCTTCCTTCTTCTCTCACCGGTGACTTCCTCCGATTTCTCACGGTGACCCTCGAGCCTCGGCAATCCCTTCCGATTTCTCACGGTAACCCTCGGGCCTCGGCGATTCCTTCCGACTCCTCTACCGGCGCTACCAGACGGCCTCTCGCTGATTTCGGTGACCGGCGAGCGGAAGAACGCTAGCGAGGTTCGCCTACGGTCTTTTCACCACGGGGGGAGTTCCGATGTCTAGATCGAAGCCGGGTGTCCAGTCCGGCCGTCGCCTTCCGACGCACTCCGAGAGGGTTCCCCCATCGGCCGGCGGTACTCGATTTGGACTCGCGCCTTTTGCGAAAGATCGAGACAAACTACCGGAAGGTTCTTTCGACGCCTCGGTGGGGGTAAGCTTTTGCTAGCCCAATCTTGGTTCAATCTTGATGTTTTTCCTTCCCGTATTTTCCGACTCCCTAGTAGTCTTTCTGAGTTCAAATCATGGAGAGATAGGCTCGATCCTCTGTATGGGGCACAATGGCAATCCTGGGGCATTCGATATATGCTGTCGGTATGTACTGATTTTGTCCCTAGCGAGCATCATATGATCAAATCCCTTTTGTGCTTTTGGAGCCCTTGTATAAATGCGTTTGTGCTCCCTTTCGGAATTGTGGCCCCAACTGTATTGGATGTGGTTGCAATCTTGGGCCTTTCATCGAAAGGAATAGAACTCCCTTTATCTCCCTCGCACAATTCCGATCGATTGTCCATTCCCGTTGCTTATGACAGTAACACCACCGTGGGTCAATTCATTGCATCGAATATGCTTTCTGGCCCCGTCGAATCTCTAGAACACAATGCTTTCCTGATGTCTTGGTTGAGCAAGTATTTTGTTTGTTATGCGTTGAAGGGGTTTGTTCGGGAGGTGGAACCGATTGTACACATACTCACGTCTGGGGCGGAGATAGACTTGGCTTCGTATTTTTTTATGGCTGTTATACCGTGGGATAAACGAGTTCTTGGAAAAACTTTCTGTCTCTTCTTCCCGCGAGCCAATCGGAGCGGGTCCTCTATGGTTTCTTGAATTATGGGTGCGGATGTATTTCCCACATTTGATCAGCCCGCGTCCTGAATTTCCCTCTCCACTGGTCATACCTTTAGGTCTTCATTTGGCCTTGTGTGCCCCTTTTCCGGGTGATCTTCATTCGCTCACTCACTCCCTTTTGCATGAGACTAATCGGCCTCCGGCCGATTTTAGCCCTTTATCAGGTTTTCTCTCATCTCGTGACATCTCCGTGAGTTGGAACAAATGTCTTACTGCTCGCATCTTAATTGGGGGGTTATCGGTAGCCTCTCGATATAACCCCATACTAGGAGAAGTTTATCAACCCCAGTATTGCGCACGCCAGTTCGGCCTGGTCCAGACAATTCCCCTTTTTGGTTTTTTTTTGCCGCCCCCTCTCTCTGCGGGTCAGGCGTTGGGATCGTCTCTCCTTGATGACTGGCGTACTTACATCCGCGATATAGAAGAACTGCCACACTCGCCCCATGCTTTTAATCCGAACACGCTGCCTTCCTTCGATGACTGGTGGGCTGAGTTTTTAGTCCATTCGAACGCGGCGGCTCTTCAGCAGTCCCTGACCGATCCGGATAACCAGCATTCGGGTAGCGAGGATCCTCCCGATGCAGCTTCTGATGAGGTGGAGGAGGTTTTAATATCTTCGGCCACAGGTACCTCATTTATTTACTCTAGCATAACTCGAAATCGAGTAATAACCGATCTTTTCCTTTGACCGTAGGTACCCCTCCCGCGACGGATGCCCTATCTATGCCACTTTTGGCCATTCGCCGTTCTCGAAGATTGATATCGAAACCTGCCACGACCAAACCACGGCCGAAGCGCCCTGCCAAACGGCCAGCTCCATCGCCACCCTTTCAGGTATTTCAGAAGGCGATTTTCCTTTCAACGAGACAAAAACTTTATAATTTGTTGTTCTTTTCGCAGACTCTTCCCAAGAGAACTGCTTCCGTATCCTCTGTTGTTCCCACCGAAGATTCTCCTTCCTGGACATCTCCAGATCATGTATACATTACTTTTCCCTTTCTCCGTAAGAATGTATTTCTGATGACTTTTCTTGGCAGGTTCTGCACGCGGGGACAGGTTTCGAGACTGTCGCCAAGTCGCCTAAAAGATCAGCTTCTCCCTCGCCATCTTTCCCGGTATGAGTCTATCGGCCGATTTTGATTAATTTCTAAGCTCGGCTCCTAATTGGACGAACGTATGCAGGTCCTGCGAGGGGTTACTACTCCGGGAGGGTCGGTTTATTCGGCCCGGGTTCGCTCTCCAGCTTCCCCCGGCCTGAGCTTGCCCTGCCGTCTCTTTCTCCGTCGACTCCATTGGCCCTGAAGGTTGTTCTCACCGACGTAGAGGCGTATTTCGCTCAAAACCTTGTTGCCGAAGCTTCTGCCCCAGTCAATATTGAATGCCCAGATCCCTTTAGTGGATATCAATCGGCTCTACCGGAGGACTCAGCCATCTTAGACAACCTGCAAGCATCCGTTCTAACAGCAGTTGCTCCGTTGTCGCTGGGCCTGCCGCGTCGCCAACAGCTAGAGGATCTTGCCGATTACCTGGGCGAGATTTCTGGTCGCCTGAAGATGCTGCAAAGTGTTTGAGGCATGAATGATAACAAACTCAAAGAGTTAGCAGCCCTGGAGACAGAGAAGGCGGCTTGCGCTCGGAGTTTCCTAGCCGAAAAACAACATGCCAATGACGAAACAGCATATGTAGAAGGTCTCTACGCCGAGGAAAAAGCTTTACGTTTGGAATTAAGCAGGATAGAAGGACGTCTAAGAGAGATCCCGCTGGAAATAGCGCGGGTAACTGCAAGTCTCGCTTCCAGGACCACCCGTAGGATGGAGATGTATGATCGTGCAAGGGCGTTGGACGAACCTTTATCTGGGCTCTACGATAAAAGGCTTATTTTTTAGAAGAACCTTAAACGGGCGGATAGGGGTTTAGAGGAGTTGCGTCTCCTCTGGCCGAGTGTGACAGCTTCATGGGCTTCTTTGCGCCCAGGGACTTCAGAACCCGCCGGTCGCTTTCCTCCCATGCGGGTCGCTGTAGCTGGGGATTCGTATGTCACCGGGACGGCGTCTAATCCACCAGTCTCAAGTGCGTCTGCCGCGAGTATTGGGCTCGTTGATGTTCGCATTGCGCACGATGCAGACTCGGGTGACTCCCCTACAAGCTAGTAATTTAGCTCATGTTTGTGTAATTTTCGACTTGAATCTGTCCCTCCCCTTTTGTTTTTGTATCCCCTTGTGACAGTGGTCTACGGATGGTGAAAGGGTCTGTTTTGCCTGTGAATCAACCATCTTGTTAATAAGGGATTCACCTTCTATTCTAGATCCCAGACGGACGGATAGAACCGCTTAAGATATTTGCCGTTAATGACCGTTTTCGACTTTTTCCCTTCGGGTTCCATTAATCGGTATGCTCCCCCAGTTGTCTTGGCCGATACGATGAATGGCCCTTCCCACGACGGTGACCATTTTCCTAATTTCGGATCCTTTGGTCCAAATGGAAGAATGGCCTTCCAAACCATATCACCCTCCTGGAAGGTCTGAGATTTAACATGCCTTTGGAAGGCCCTTTCCGCTTTTTTCTTCTGACTTCGTATATGTTCGAGTGCTTGCAATCTTTCTTCGGGCAGAACGTCAAGCTCCTGTAGTAACATTCGATCATTTTCCTCTATAGCGAATCCGTTTGCTTACAGAATCTGGAGGGATGGTACCGTAATTTCCAGCGGGAGTACAGCGTCATGTCCGTAAGTCAGGCGGTAGGGGGTGCTACCAGTCACTGATGATTTGGCGTTCCGGTATGCCCAGAGCGCTTCGTCCAACGTATCGTGCCAACTTCGTGGGTTATCCTCTAACACCTTTCTGATGATCAAAATTAACGCCTTATTCGTCGCCTCGGCCTGCCCGTTAGCTTGCGGGTAGTAGGGAGACGAATGGAGCAATTGAATTCCGTACTGAGCCATAAATGCTTTGACTTTCGCCCCCATGAGCGCTGTACCTTGATCGGTAGTGATAGTTTTGGGAATAGCCGAACCTGTGGATAATATTTACTCTGATAAAGCGTATGATGTGGCTTTGCTGCACTTTGACGAGTGGTATGGCCTCTGCCCATTTTGTGAAGTAGTCGGTGGCCACAAGAATGAACGAATGCCCCTTAAAAGACGAGGGGTGGATTTTTCCAATTACATCCATCGCCCAGCCCAAGAAAGGCCAGGGCTTAACGATCGAATGGAGTTCTTCCACGGGGATCTTCCGGAGGGGTCCATGGCGTTGACAGGCTGGGCATCCGCGTGCGTAATCGATGCAATCCTGCGATATCCGCGGCCAAAAATAGCCATAGCGAAGTATCGTCCATCTCATCGTAGGTCCGGCCCTATGTGCGCCTCCAATACCCTCATGAACTTCAGCCATGACCTTCCGTGCTTCTTCGCACCCTAAGCAGCGCGTCAGCGTCCCGTCCGACCTTCGTCGATATAGTTCTCCATCGATTTGAGTGTATTTTGTGAGCTGATATCGCTCAACCTTTGTCGTGGCCTTCCTGGGGTCAGCTAGCCCTTCCAGCAAGGGAGTTTTCCAATCCGGACTTGGCCTATCGATCTGTGAACATTCGACTTCTCGAGGCATGCGTTCCCTTCTGAAACCGGACGCCCACTGTGCCAAGTCGTTTGCTTCCGCATTTTCATCTCGGGGTATATCTTCTAACACTACGTCTGTGAGCTGCTGCAATAGACTATGGACTTTGCGAAGAAGGATCTGAAGCTGCGGATCTTTACACTTGAATTCTTTAAAGGCCTGTCGGACAACTAATTGAGAATCCCCGCGGATGACTACCTTCCTGACTTTTCGGGCTACGAGGAAGCGTAAAGCCAACAGTAAAGCTTCATATTCAACTGCCCATACTTCTGACATTCCTGGCAACCTTTGGCGAATTGTATACAATCTTCAAAAATCTTTGGCCAAAAGAAACCCAAATGATGGATAGCCCATCTCATATTTAAACCTACCCGATGAGCTCCACAAATTCCACTGTGTACTTCTGTCATCACCTCCAAAGCCTGTTTGGACCCCAAACATTTTAGGAGTAATCCTTCGAATGTTCTTTTGTATATTACTCCTTCTAACAATTGAAATCGTAACGCTTCAACCGTATTCCAATCGGTACATTCACTCCTGAATCTTGTAGATACTTGATAATTTCTGTCCTCCAGTCAGTCCCAGTTTTTATTTCAGGGCCGACCTCTGCACACATATCTCTTGGGATTCTTTTACAAGCTTTTTGAGCTAATTCTTCTGCAAATTGATTTTCCCTTCTAGGGATGAACTCAATTATCACTTCGGAGATCTTTGATAGCAACCGACCTACCACATCTCTGTACCTGCGTAGATGGAGATAATTGCAAACATATTGTTTGCTTACTTGGTTGATTACCAATTGAGAATCCCCTCTTATGATCACCGATTGAACTTTCCTGGCTATCAAGGCTTCTAATCCCAAGATTAAAGCCTCATACTCTGCTGAATTATGGGTCATGGCTTCTAATTGCAACTGCAATTTGACCCTTTGACCATCTGGTACCTCCAACAAAACACTTGCACCCGATCTGTTTCCTGAGGTAGAACCATAAAAAAACATTAACCAATTTCGGGTACTTACATAAGATATGTATCTGGTCGGTTCCTATTCATAGCCTGCAAAGTCTGCCAAAAAATCTGTTATTGCTTAGCCTTTCACCGCCCTCAGGGGAGAATGATACAAATCGAAAGGAGCTAATTTAATGGCCCATTTCATAAGTCTGCCCTGCATAGTAGGTCTTTGCAAAATTAACTTGATGAGATCAATCCTTGAAATAACCTCAATTCTCCTGGGCAACATATAATGCTCGAGTTTAGTGCATGCAAAAACCAATGAATAACACATTTTTTCTGGCATAGTATAATTTAATTCTGGTCCTGTGAGAGTCTTGCTCAAATAATAAATTGCCCTTTCCTTTCCATCATCTCCATCTTGTACTAAAAAGCAACTGACCACTTCATATGTATTTGCAAAATAAAGTTTGAGGGGCCGACCTTCCTTGGGAGGCATCAACACGGGTGGTTGAGTCAATGATTGCTTTATAGCTTCTAAAGCTGTCTGTTGGTCTGGTCCCCACTCAAAGGCGCTTCCTCCTACTTTCAATAATTTAGTGATTGGTCTGACCATGCCAGCAGCATTAGAAATAAACCGTCTAAGGTAATTTACCTTCCCCAAGAGACTTTGAAATTCCTTAACCGTCTTGGGCGGTCGGCTGGCAAAAATTGCCTTGGCTTTATTAGCATCGATCTCAATTCCCCTTTTATGAACCAAGAATCCCAAGAAACTCCCGGCTGAGATACCGAAAGCACACTTAGTCGGGTTCATCTTCAATTTGTACTTCTTCATCCGACTGAAAGCTTCTTTAAGATCTTTCAAATGTTCCTCAAAACTGGAAGATTTACCAATGAGATCATGAAAAATTGAATTCATGGCCCTATGATAAGTCGCCCCTGCATTCTTCAAACCAAAAGGCATAACTGTCCACTCATAAATACCTAGAGCTCCTGGACATCTAAATGTTGTCTTGTGAATGTCTTCTTCTGCCAAAAAGATTTGGTTATATCCTGCATAACCATCCATCAAACTGAGAATTTTGTGTCATGCTGCTGAGTCAATTAGCATATCGGCCATAGGCATCACATATTCATCTTTAGGAGTGGCCATATTAAGATCTCTGAAATCAATGCATATCCTGATCTTACCATTCTTTTTAACCACTGGTACAATATTGGCCAACCAATATGCATAACGGAAAGGCCGAGTGAAACCTACTTTAAGAAGTTTCTGAATTTCCTCTTTGATCTCAGGCATTAAGTCAGGACTCATACGCCTTGGAGGCTGCTTGTAGGGCTTAGAACCTTCTTTAATAGGTAATCGATGCTCTATCAAATTTTGCTCTAAACCAGGCATTTCCGAATAATCCCAAACTAAACAATCAATATTGTTTCTTATAACTTCGAGCATCAATTTTTGTTGCTCTTCAGACAAGTAACCACTCATCCTGATTGTCTTTGGAACCAGGTCGGTTCCTAAATTAAATTCCAGTAAAGGATCTTGTGCTGAAAAAGTTGGCTCTGTTTTCTCTAATAAATCAGGCCAACGAAATTGCTCATCTTCTTGGAAATGAACATCATGAGTCTTTTTGATTTTTTCTACTTTTTTCAAAAGCTGATCTAAATAAAGCTGATTAATAAGTACACTACAATCTTGTAAATTAGCACCTTCCATAAAAGATATATTATAAAAAGTAGGTTTGGCATCCTCAAGAGCCATACGGTACAACTGTTCTTTTAAAAGAACACTGAATTCTGGCTGATGAATTTAAAACCCTTCTTTGGGTATTCATTAGCCATAAAAAACTGAGACATTGGGAGTACATGATTGGAATAAAAAACTGACTCTTCAACTTGTTCTGATGCTCCGAAAGGGTTGTCATTTGCTTCCATTTTGAAGACTTGATTGCCTTCCCAGAACATTAATTGTTGATGCAGTGTTGATGGTACACATTTAGATGCATGAATCCAGTCTCGTCAAAGTAAGATTGAGTATGTAGTATCCGCATCCACCACAAAGGAAACAAAAGAAATTTTTTTAGGACCGACTTCAATTGAGGCAACCATCATACCTTCTGGTCTGGTCGGCTGCCCTGTGAAGCTGGTCATCTCAAAATCCACATGAGATAAATCGTGAATTCCCTTCCCTAACTTCTTGAGAGTCTTTAATGGCATCACATTGAAGACGGCTCCATTGTCTATAAAAACCTTTGTGATTGGTTTCCCGCAAATATGAGCATTAACATATAGACGCTTTAAATGAGATGTTGTGCCTTCTGGAATGGGAGGGAAAACTATTGGAGGAACCTCTGACTGAAAATCAGGATCTGAAATCTTTGCCCATTCTGGCTCTTCTAAATAATCATCCACCAGACTTGCCCACAGAGGTTATTCTTCAATCCAATTAATTACTGTCATTCGGCAGGGGACTCGCGGCCCTAGTTGAGACTTGACAGACCTCGAATCGGCTTCTGAAACTTCATCACTGGTATCAGTTTCAGGTTGAACTGTCAAAGATTCCAGACGAAACTCCTCTAGAGATGGATTGACGTTAATCCGCTCACAATATTGACATCTGAAACCTTCAATTCTTTCATCTGATACCCCTTTACCCCTCTTTTGTATGGACCGACCTCCCTCATGATAATTAGCAGCACCTCACATGTTGGTCGGCTGCTTTGACGAGGCGACCCCTATAGACCGACCTCCTTCCAGGGAATCAATAGCGCCTTGCGCATCATTCGGCTGCTCGAATGAGACGACCCTGATGGACTGACCTCTTTCAGTGTATTTAGTAGCACCTCGGATGTCATTCGGCTGCTTCAATGAGGTGACCCGTATGGACAGACCTCCTTCGGAAGCATTAATCGCACATTGCATATCATTCGGCTGCTTCGATGAAGAGACTTTATCCCTGTATCTCGCAGCATACCTGCGTTTCGCATTCCAAATTTGAGTACGATTCATGCCTGGAAAACGAGGATCCACATCAATTGGTAAAGGTTTTTTATTTCGAGTCCATTTGCTTCCGACCAAGCCCGTCCTTCTAGTCAGGTGGTCCCAAACTAAAACTTGCTCCTTCAACTCTACATAAAAAGAACCATCTTGATTATCCCATTTTTCAGCCACTGTTTTGTCACAGACCTTGAGTTTTTCTTCTGGTCGGCCACTGTTTGGTGAGTTTCCTTTTCCCGATCTAGGACTTGCTTGTATATTAACCATTGTTGTGGTTACTTTTGGAAAAGGCTGTTGCTCTATACCCAAAGTAATATACTTGAGCCGACCTGCCTTAATGGCCTTTTAGATCTCATTTCGAAAATGAGTGCATTGACTTGTATTGTGTGTGAAAGAGTTATGCCACTTACAATATGGTCTTCCTTTGATCTCTTCCTTAGTAGCCAACCTTTGCCCTTTTGAAATTCGAATCTGGCCATCAGTTAGCAAAGTATCAAAAATTTCATCAGCCTTTGAATTGTCAAATGTAGGCTGCTCTTTCCCTTCAGTTCCTGGTACTGGCTTTAATTTAGAGCATACATAAGGCTTTCCTGAAATGATTTCGGCCGCCATTTCTTCTGTCTGATCATAATCAAAGTCGTATGCTTCTGTTTCCATACTCGCCATATGCTGAACTTTATTACGCCTTAAATTCTGATCCTTTTCTCTAAAGAAAGACTCTAAACGTCCCGCTTTGGGAGCGAGACTTGCCAAATCTTCCACATCATGAGCAGTGAGTGCCTCCCTTAGGCGGCCATGCATATTCCTGACCACTAAATTGGTCATTTCCTTCTCATTGATTATAGTAGGACAACGTCCTTTCATCAAGCGCACCCTTTCAATAAACTGTGAGGCTAACTCTTTTGGATGTTGCTTCAATTCCAATAAATCGGTAAGAGAAAAAGTTGGTAAAGGATTGAAGAACCTAGCATGGAACGCCATTTCCAAACCTTCCCAAGTTTGTATTTGCCCAGGTGACAGGTATAAAAACCATGAAAAAGCTGTTCTGGTGAGAGATAGCCCAAATAACTGCAGTTTATAAAAAGGATTATTTCCAACTTCTCCCAACTGTGCTGTAAAGCGACCCACATGCTCTATGGTGGAGGACCCGTCTTCCCCTGAAAAAGCATAGAAATCAGGTGGTCGATAATTCCTTGGAAGTGGATAGTCGTTAATGATCCTTTCGGGGAAAGGCTTTTGATAAGCAAGGCGATTGGCCATCTGAGGATTCAGGCCAAAATGCACTCTCAACACTTGCGCAATTTCTCCAGGATCCACACGAGGGTGTTGATGATCAGGGATGAAGATGGGATCTTGCACATGTGCTCCTTCCCTCTCTTCCCTGACAATGTTTGGCTGTAGATTGTCAACTCTTGGCCCCAAAGGAACATTATTAGGGAAAGTTAGAGGAGTCTTTCCCCTATCTGTTCGGTTGAACGTTGTGGGGCTTGGAAGTGTGTTGTCAACGTACAATGGTCCTGCAAAATTTCCTTGCATTCTTGATGGTGATATTCCTGGCGGCGTCTGAGTGGGTTGAAGAGTAACCCTTGATAGAGCTTGATCTAACATGTTTTGCATGAGATTTTGTTACTCGCGCAACATGATGTTCTGTTGCTCGCGCAACATATTCTGCATAGCCGAAGTTTGCTGATTGTTCAATTGTTGAACATAAGACAACCAATCGGTAGGTGGTTGGGGAATTTCCCCTGGATTTGGCATGACGGGTGGTGAAATATTTTCTCCCACCGGTGCTGAAGATGATTGAGGTTGTGAGCCTGCCATACTGATTTTTCTGATGATTTGGCCGAACCTCAGTCGTATGAAATTATCTGTTGATGTAGGATCAGCAATCTTGCCTTTCTCCCACTGTGGTCGCCAATTTGTTGATGTCTTTTTTCAACAATAAAAAAATAAAATCCAAAAATAGGAAATTATCTCCGAAGTTTATATATTTAGTGCCTGAGATTAGGAATCTCTAAACACTGTATGGTACAGAAAATAAAGTGGAAAATAAAAGACTGAAAATTTAAATGATGATCCCCGAATCACTGACTTTGCTGTCGTTTGAAGATGATTGAAGATCCTTTGTCAGTTGCAAATCCCAATCCTTAAATACTCTTTAGAAACGGTACTTGGAACCATCGCCCAAACGGTTACAACACCTCATCTCAACCGTTCGCTAACCCCTCTTTTGCTGACACGTGTTCTCAGCCGACCAAGCTATTATTCTCACTTGCTTTCCGTGGCATCCGACCTCCACAACAACCGACATTTTGCTCATCCAACTGTGAATCAACCGACTTGCCTATCCGACTACAAACCAACCGACTTGTTGGCCCGACCACAGACCTCAGACTTGTTGGGCCAGCCACAAACCTCCCGACTTGTAGACCATCCGACTTGTTGGTCCAGCCGCAAACCTTCCGACTTGCAGACCATCCGACTTGTTGGTCCGACCACAGACCTTCCGACTTGCATACCATCCGACCCGCTGACCAACCGACCTATAAACTGTCCGACCTGCGGACTTTTCGATCTGCGGACTTTCCGACCTGCAGACTTTCCAACCTGTGGACCTTCCGACCAGCTATTTTCTCAGAAATACGTCTAGTTCACCCGATTTTCTCAAAACACTCCTTGATCAATTTAACAGACCCAATTATAGGCCCATACTTTCTTTTAACTTGGGCTTTTTAACCTAATTATAAATTTCATATGTAACAATGACATTTTTTCGCGGAAGGTTGCATTGTTGCAAACCAAAACAAATTATTGCCGAGACAATTTAGATAGTACAATTAAATATTTTTTAAAATAGTAAAAGAAATTTTAAATTAATAACATAAAATATTCACATAAATATATTTAAATAGTAAAATGAAAAAATGCATTCAAATTAATTTTAATGTCAAATGAATACATTACAAGGAAAAAAATATTATACAAAATTTTTAATAATATTGAGTAGGCGGAATAGTTTCATCATCGTCGTTTTCATATTCATCATCCTCCTCGTTGTGATAATATTGTCCACTTTCACTCGCTTCACCGGTACGACTCCCATTCCCACTTCCACTTTCCTCTCGACGCATTTGATAAGGATCAAATGAACTAGCCATTCGGGATAATATGGCTCTGGTTCGTGAGGAATATGATTATTGAAATTTTCAAAGTGCATACGAAGGAATTTCGTCACCTACAAAAAAAAAAAATTAAAAATTAGAATCTGAAGTTTAAAATAAAATTTATCAATAATATTAAAAAAAAAAGAAGATGACAAACCTGATCTAATCTTTGATTAGTCGCTCGCAACTCTTCCTTAATTTTCAAATGCTCATCCATTGATATACTTGAAAAAGATGTAGATGCAACATGTTGTGAACAGGAAGTTCGAAGTTGAACCTTTACTATCTTACCTTTAGAACCAAGTCCCGGGACACGGCCTTTTGTGTTGAAACCTCCAAAGGCACTAACAAGTTTTTTTGGATCCAATTCAGAAGTAGAGCTATATTCAGAAATTTTTTGTAACTCCGCCTAAGAATTAAAAATTTTGAAACCATTATATTCTATTACTCAATATAAAAAAACAAATATTCTAAATAAATTATACCTCGAGGCTGCAACATTTTGAGTAGGTACTTCATTTTTTTTTTTTACTAAAACATTGACGATAAAGTTCTATTTCGGTTTGTGTGCGTCCTAATTCTTCGCTCTATAAAATAAATATCATTAAATGTATATAATACAACAATTTATATTTACAAATTATAATAAATTAAATATTACCATAATCTTTTGAACACGACCAACAGATTGAGTGCCCGCACAGTATTGATTTGCAACTGCTGTCGGATTTTTGTTTTCTATTTTCTTTATTTTGTTCAACCATATCCTGAATTTCTTTAGAACCTCATTGCTCCTTCATTTTATCCCATTTTTCAAGAGAAATCCATTTCGAACATATATTATTATTTCGAGCATAACCTAAATTTCTCCTTAATAACTCATACAAATTTTTCTGTGATGTTGCAACATTCTTCTGCCAGCTACCATGCTTCCGACGTTAACCGCCATAGAATTTGGACTATTGTAAAGTCGCATATCTTTCCAAAATAACATGCATCCTTGTGAACAACAATCTATCTTGATACTGGGTAACTCTTTTTTTCTGTTAAATTTTTTGATCCATAGAAATTGACAAGCATCTGAGGACCTTCGGGAAGTGCTCATCCAAATAACTTGTATATATTATCATACGCTGACTCTGATATGTTGTGATTGGCCTTAATGCACATCAATTCCGTAACAATAGATAATTGGGTTTCTCCGTCACAATCTGCATGAAGTGGTTTGTCAGCATTTTGGAGAAAATTGCTGAATCTACCTGCCATATCTGTATCTCCAAATTCTTCGTTTCAGTGGAGGCCTTAGGTGGATCATTTCTGAAATTTGAAGGCCATGCATTATTATCATTATGAGGTTGATTGTGTATACTTCTTTCAAAATCTTCAGTAGATGGAACCTCATTATCGGCTACAACCGGTGGAATTTGTAGAACTTCGTCATGCAAAACCCATGTTTGATAGTTTCTTGTAAAATCTCTCGTAGACAGATCAACTGTTACTTCATATCGTAATTTTTATTTACCATTTTTACATCTGCTACATGGACACAATATTGTGTCACCCTTCATCCACTATTTTTGTTGCTAAGCCCATTCAACAAATTGTAGAACTCATGCTTCAAATTCTTGACACAATCCATGCGTATTTGGATCAAATCTTTCGTACATCCAAGCTCGATGATTTTGCGAATATACATAATAAATATTTTAATTATGTATAAACTAAAATATAACAAGGAAAATAGAGAGAAAATGAAGAACTAAAAGAATAGAATGTTTGTATGAATGATTAAAATAACAAAATCAACTTATAGAGTTGGAAACACATTAGTTTATGTAAAATCATAAATAATATCATTGAAAATTGTAACTATTAAATAATATTGAAAATTTAAATCTTTTAACAAATTGAAAATTGAAATATTTGAACAGTTGAAAATTGTGAGATTAGCATTGAAAATTGTTTCTATCAATTAATTTTCTGTTATCAAATATTTTCTTATAATATATTTTACTTATTTTAAATGTACCAATTTTTTTATTATAAAAAAGTTAATTATAAATTTGGTTGGTTATTACTATGTGTATAAAAATTAAAATAATTTTAAGTTAATATTATCTAGAATATATTATTAACAACAATTCTGGTGTATATATATAAAGATATATAATATTTATTGAATATATTCATAGTGGAAAAAATATATTAATTTCTGTAAAGTTGAATACTATATATATTATTGAAAATTGTAGCCATAAGTAAAATTGAAAATAATTTTTTTTGAAAAAAATAAAATTATTGGTGACTTCAATTTTTATTGATTCAAAAAATTAGAAGAACTATCACATAAATTTTACTTTAAATTTTTATTGATGTTTTCAAAAAATTAGAAGAACTATCACATAAATTCTAATAAATTATTTAATATACTATATTTTCAATGACTAAGTGTATGTACTATAATTATTAAAAAATACTAATATTTATTTTTAAGGTTATAACAGGAAGATAAATTTATAATTTTTTTATTTTGTAATATAATATCTAAATGATAATACTTAAACATTATCAAATAATTTATTTTAAAAATACCTATATTAAACGTTATAAAAATTTGTTGCGAGCATCTGCAAAAAGTTGAAGGCCAAGTGACTTTGGGTTTTTGTTATTGCAATAGTTGTGAAGTCATGTGTTCCTAAGTTGTAGACACTTGATAAACTTTAGAACGGATGTTCTAATATTAAAAGCCAATAACATATTTGTTTAAAAAAACTATAAAAATATATAAAATTTTAAAAATTATTAATAATATTCATTTAAGAAATTAGAAAAAAAATATTATTTTTTAATATATATTTTTGAAATAATATCTTATTCAAAAATTTTATCATAGTTAAAATAAAAATTAAAGATATTGTGCGAAATTCTACAATAAATTAAAATTATAAATAAACCATTGTCGCGGAAAACCACAACAATATGTAAGATATTTTATTAAAATTATTGTCGCAAACAGTCGGAACAATGCATTGTAAAGTAATTTTTTTTAATTTTAAATTATTGTCGCGGAATGTTGCAACAAAATTGGAAACAATAAATCTATTCATTGTTTGTCGCGGACAACCGCAACAATGCATTGTAAAAAGTATAAAAATATATATATTTTTTTTAAAACAATTGTTGCGGAAAGCTGCAACAAATTTGAAAACAATAAATTTATTTTTTGTTTGTTGCGGCCTTCTGCGACAAATTGGACAAATTAATCATTGTAACAAAGATTGTTGCGTAAGTCCGTGACAATTAATTTATATATAATTTTTATTAAATATTGGATAGAAGTTGTGACAATATATTATTCCGGGACAAATTTTCGGTGACATTATCATTATTTTCTAGTAGTGTACAATAAAGTTTCATGTAATTTTTAAATCGTAAAAGAAGATAATACATACATTCTAAACCACTAGTGGGTGATAAGTACTTCTGTTTAACAAATAGAAAGCAAACATTATGAACTTAATTGTAACATAACAAATAAATGAGAAGCAATTATAACATAACGAAATAAATAGGAAGTAATGCAACCCACTCCCAACCTAACCTAACAAATAAATAACAAATAATTACTGAATGATTCACGGTACATCTACGATGGAAACCATATGATACAATGATAACCAACACACACCATACATTAATATAATATAAATACAATACATGAACTTATATAACCCAAACTATTATTGATCTCGTAACAAAATATATGTCTATGCAACACATCCTATAGATATGGACAGCCAGTCAATTTTTTATATGTTGACCGGACAAATCAATATGGTGTTGATCTTCATATTCGTTTCCGCCGATGGTAGACCTTTAAAAACCTACGCCCTTGCACTGTATCATTCATTCCACCCTCAACAAAAATTTCTTGTTTGATAGGAACGAGTTCGGCCTCCATTGGGATTACAGGTCGAGAGGCTTCCACTCTCTCATGGGAGATACCTCCCATTGGTCTGCTAAATCCTAAACCATTGAGATGTAATGTTAAACTAAAGAAATATTGAAAAACATATGACATGCAATTTGTATTGATTTTTCTCGAATATAGTCAAAACCAATAAAGATAAAATGACGGAGAGGAAATAATAATAAAATTATGTAGACAGTGTGTCAACTCCGTTCACTCATAAATGCAAGGATTTAGAATGTTATAAAAGATCGGATGCAATGAAAATAGTAAACTAAAAAAAGTAAACACTATACCAGGAGGCGGGCTTATAGGGTCTTCTTGTTTTACAGGAACAAGTTCTGCCTCCGGTGGGATTACGAGTCTGGAGGCATCTATTCTTTCCAAGAAGATACCTCTCATCGCCTTGCTAAACCCTAAACCATTGAAATGAAATGTTAAACTAGAGAAAGATTGAAAATCATACGACATGCAATTTATATTGATTTTTCTCGAATATAGTAAAAACCAATAAAGATAAAATGACGGAGAGCAAATAGATCCAGAAAGTGCCGTTTAATCATAAATGCAAGAATTTAGAATGTTATAAAAGATCAAATGTAAAGATAACAGTAGAAAAAAGAAAGCAGACACTATACCAGGAGGCGGGCTTATTGGGTCCTCTTGTTTCACAGAAACAAGTTCTGCCTCCGTTGGGATTACAAGTCTGGAGGCATGCATTCTTTCCAATGAGATACATCCCATTGGCTTGCTAAACCCTAAACCATTGAGAAAGAATGTTAAACTAAAGAAATATTGAAAACCATATGACATGCAATTTATATTGATTTTTCTTAAATGTAGTCAAAACCAATAAAGATAAAATGATGGAGAGCAAATAGTAATAAAAGTATCCATAGAATGCCATTCAGTCATAAATGCAAGAATTAAAGAATGTTATAAAAGATCCAATGTAAAGATGATGGTAAAATAAAGAAATCAAACACTATATCAGGAGGCGGACTTATAGGTTCCTCTTGTTTCACAGGCACAAATTTTGTCTCCGTTGGGATTACGAGTGTGGAGGCATCCATTCTTTTCAGAGAGATACCTCCCCTCGGTTTGCTAAATCCTAAACCATTGAGATGGAATGTTAAACTAAAGAAATATTGAAAACCATGACATATAATTTATAAAGATTTTTCTCAAATGCAGTTAAAACCAATAAGATAATAAGACGGAAAGCAAATAGTAACAAAAATATCCGGACAATATTAACTCCGTTCAGTTATAAATGCAAGAATTTAGAATGCTTTCAAAGATTAGATTTAAAGAAAAAAATAAAACAAAATAAAGAAAAAAGTATACCTGGTGGCGGCATAATTGGGGTTGCATCAAGATGAATGGATCCCCATTTCTTCCCGATGATTGGCTCTTTCCCTTTTCCATAACCTTTCCCGTTTATTTCATCTAATAAATTACAACACGGATAAGAAATTGGCTTTGATTGATACCATGACATAAAATAAACCCCATATCCAACTTTATAAGGTATATAATTTGCATAGATTTAGAATTGTCAACAAAAATAAAATGCACGCAAATAGCTATAAATTCATGTTTCAAGACCAAACTCTTGATAGATTGTTTGCACATTCACTTTTTAGAGACCAACCAATACTACTCATGAGAACCCGCAAAAATAAACACTAGCCTATTCACAAAAGCAACTAAACAAATGTAAGAAATAGGACAACATTAACAAAAAGATAATACCGTTAAAGTTATCATCAATGTTAGAAAACTAGAGGAAATAAGTAGGGAGGTAGAAGTTATCTCACCATTATGGATATCGGAAATAGAGACTCCATTTCTTTGAGGAATCCCCATGGCTGCAGTTTGAGGAGCTGATCCTATTTCAGAAATTCCCTCAACTCCAACATGATTGTAGTCGTGATTGTTCAGCTGTCGCACTGGATAGGTGAAACAAGTTCTTTCACAGCCACTTGGATCATATATTTGAACAGAAATGTGCCTATCTCCTACATAGTTAAATATCAAGGAACATCCCCTCTCAAGAGCATGGTCCCTATAAAATATTTTCCATCCCGATGCGAATGCTAATGCATTGTCAACATAGGATAGAGTCACGGGCCATATCTGCCCACATAAATCCTCAAGGAGGATTTCTTGGTCTACCAAGTGCACCACCCTTGGAGCAAATGAAGATGGCAAGAGCTGCAAAAAGATTAAATCTTTTACAAGACATGCTTTATAAAAATTGCAGAAATTATAGAAGAATTTCATCTACACAGATCAACAATTTGGCTATTAAACATCCCAAAAATATAACATTTAGTACTCAACAAGTTGGTGGGTGATGAGAGGATACTTGCTTAATGCAATAAATTACTAAAAGTTCAGTAATTGTTCGCCAAACCATGTTTTCATCTCATAATAATAGACACTACATATTACAATGTGATTACAAGCAACATTATCCCAAAGGTTAAGACTAAAAAGTCCAAAAACTCAATATGAATGAAAGATTACCAGTGCATGTGAAACATCATCATCATCCAATACATGGACAAAGCGGGGAATTGACGGTGATAACTCCTTCTCTGTCAAGTGAGATATGTAGCCCTCGTGACGTCTATAAGCCATTTTTTGTGTTTTTAACCTTGATTGACTAAAATGTTAGAAAAAAGTCTCATGAAATCAATGTAGGATAGAAGTCAAGATTAATGAAAACAAGAACATTCAAGAACGACTTAGAACACATGGGTAAACACACTTTAAATTGTTTCAAAATAACTGCCACCCCAAAACCACTTAAACCTTAAATTTATTTGAATGTTCAGATTTAAATGAATTACATACCCATAGTACAATTTGAGGGAGTAGAAAGAACCTCCACATCATGATGTCCCAAACCTTTAATAACTACTCCACAAAATAGAGAGTAACATAGATTCATAATTATTTGAAACTCAAGGTGCACCTTGTTGCAAAGGTATCCCATAAGGCATAGGACACAAGTATGTGTGTTTGTGTGTTAATAGATTTCAACGGAACTTTACTCACAATCATATATTAGATATTATTTTTTTTTTAAAAAAAAAGATAACCATTAAGAGAAAATCCACCATTATTTTGAGAAATTTCAACCATTAATCCTATATAAAGAAAGAAAAGGAAAATAAATCTTGATTATATTTATTAATCTTCCCAATCTAGCAAATCATAGTTTCCTAAAAAAAAAATCTCTCGTTACACCAATTAACAGTTCCACTCATAAATCGATATAGAAAAATAAATCCAAAAAAAAGAGCTATTCAAACAAGACAAAAAAGAAAAAACTAGATCATGAAAATTCATTCAAACATAGGGCCAAATACGACGATATAGGCAAAGAATACAATAAATCAACATGAAAAACATGAATATTGAAGACTTAAGGTGCGAAAAATCTCAGCAAAACAAAGTAATATATAATCTAGAAAGGCTAAAAACATACTTCAGATGATGGAACATAAGCGACAATGAAAATCTCAAAGCTAAAAAGAAGATAGGGCTTCCGTAAGCCGATATCAGGGGGTATATATAGCACCCCCGACACGAAATAAGGGAAGAGGGAAGGGGGAGAAGCCACCTACCTGATCGTGGCCAAACCACGGCCGGAGAGAAAGGCGCATGGTAGCGAAAAACCTAGTGCTAGAAACTACAAATAATTATTCTTTAAAAAAAAAACTTACAACCAATCGGGTTTCAATTTCGAACAACATGAGGATTCTCAATGAATAAATGTATGAAAACTTACCTAGTGGGTCGGCGCCGGAGACACTTTCCAGTGATCGCACCTGAAGACCTAACTTCGATGGAACGGCGGCGTTAGGAGGGAATAGAGTCAGCCCAAAATTTTTCTAAGGGTGTGTTTGTTTGGGTGTGTTTCCCAAACTTCCACTATTCATAGAAAACTTCCGCTGGGGACAGAAAACTTTCCTCAATAAATTCAAAAATAAAAAATAAAAGCGCAAACACGTTTTTAAAAGTAGAAAAATGTATTGAACAAATAAATTTGAGACGTATTTACTAAACAAGGTTCATGCTTGATTAACAACATAAATGATGTATAATTAATAGTATCTCATTATTGTAACAAATATGATCTTTCAACATAATACCATACAACTATTATTTCAAAAGAAAAACTTACTATACTATAGGCTATACCCCCTCCGGCTCAATTTGTTTACTATAAACTTTCTCTTTTCTCCCTGTCAATACAATTTATACAATCATCGCAAATAAATAATAAGGGCAAAATGGTGGAAACTCTATCAAAATTATACCTAGAGCTGGCAAAAATAGGCACAGTCCAAAAAATCGATTTAAACCCGTCGCGAAAAAAAAAACCGTGCTTGGGCCTCTAAAAGAAGGCCTGAAATTTTGTGGGCCGTGTGTGGCCCAGCCCAATTTATTAAAATTAATATTTGTAATTTGATATCTTTATATGTATATTAATTAATGAAATAATGATAAAAATCAAGATATAGCTTGATGGTACTTGTCTTGTTTATATATGGTTCCATTTAATAAAAATTTTGTTAAATTAATTTAAAACGAAAAAAAAAAATTCAAAGTAAACAAAAAAATCCTGGCATAGCTCGGTTTCAAACCAAGTTGTGCCCGGGCCAGGCTGTGCCTATTTGGACTATTTTAAAACCGGGCAAACTTGAATTGCCACCCCTAATTATACCCCCTGCAATGCTCACCTACTCTATAGTCTTTGGTTGTACGGTTGAACCAAGCCTTATTGATGCATAAACTATGCATACATTTATAAATGACAAATCAAGGACTACAACGTGAACAACAATATCCCTTATTGCAAGATTTCCACTTTGAATAACTTCATTTCTTAAGACCAAAACAAATAATTTTAGCATGAAATTGTATTTATATCCTAGTCAGATACAACTTTTGTAGGAAAATTATTCTCCTGCAGATATTCAATGACTTACCACGACATGAATTTCAAAACATTCTTGTTTCAACTTTCATATGTATAACCTTCTCAAACACCAGTCTCCCCATGAAACACCTACACAATTTATGGCCCCAATATTCTCTCTATTTCTGCTATTTTTATTCATTTATTTAATCGATACTTCTAGCTTTAATTATCTCGTAATTAATAATAAATACCTGAGTATAACCAACACTACCACAAAAAATATCTTTTTGTAACGATCAAATATTCGTAACTAAAACCCATTTTTCGTGCAAAATAGCTTTTTGTGTCGACTTTGTTACGCATTATGACCGCTACGAAAAATCGCAGTACAAAAATTTCGTGTCGCAACAAAATCCGTAACAAATATTAGTTGGTCAACTTTCAAAATAAGCACGTGTTAATTATATTTGTTACGTTTTTTGGTATGTAACAAAAACATCAATCATGTTTTTGAACCGACAAATATCCGACACAAATACTGCGGAACAAAAGTTGAATACTGTCAGAAAAATATTTGTTACGACATATGTCCGAATCAACAAATGCGTTACAAGTGTTTAATCTTGTCAGAAAACTTCTTGTTACAAGATGTGTCCGTAACAACAATACATTACAAAAGGACTGCCCCCTAACAAATAAGTTGTTTGTTATGAAATTACTCCGCAACAAAAAATCATGACAATAGTCAGGCAACCATTCATTACCATTTGTATCGGCCACAATCCGTAACTAAAAATACGCTACAAAAGACGTCCCTGTATGGCATTGTAGTTTTGTCGCCATAAATAAATTCCATTTGTATGTATTATTAATCTGAGAGACAAATAATTTAAAACTTAATCTTATCATAATTGTTTCTAAATCCATCAAAATACTACACATGGTCATCAATACAACGATGTTCATAGTCCAGCCAAAAATAAAATATTAGTCGTCAACGGTGCTAACAAAACATCCCAACAAAACACCAATCCGTACACCAACATAACAACCCACTAAATAATGATACGCAAAACCCAAAAGTAATACGTAAATAGATAATTCTGATATCATACAGAAGTACGATCTTAAGGGCAACTCATAAACACTACTATGAATGACCCAGCTAGTCGAGTGCAGAATCATGGAGGCTGCAATCACAGGCGAAGAACCAACTGCAATGTGTTTTTAATAATATATAAGAATTTATTACATAAATTGAAGTAATTTAATTTCCAAAAGAATAAAGTAAATAAAAAATTGCGTACATCCTGGTAAATTCACTCGATATTATCTCCGTCGAGTACATCACCGAGAATTTTCGCTCCAGCATTAGTTGGAAGGATAAGTGCGGTCTCCGGGACCATTACAGCTGTAACGTACACCTTAACAATGGCTAGGGTATCACCTATATAAATAGGTTAAACGAGCGCTAGTTACGATGATGAATATAATAAAATAAAACTTACGCTTTAGCTTGATCTAGGGACCCTATCTTAAATACAAGTATAATAACAAATAAACTCGAAAAGCACTAATAAAATAGGCTAACCTCTGAACATTATCAAAATAAATAACACAACATGGACCATAGGGGCCAACTCCCCTTACACATATACTAGTAATTATAAATCACCACGATCATAGATGGACAATCCTTCAGTAAAAAAAATGAACACAGCTGTCCAATAGCAACCAAGTAACCACCAATCAAGCCCTACAAATAACGTTCAACCATACAACTACCTTAAACCCAAATAGACATGCCCTACAATGATATAACTAGATGTTAGATATAACAATCTTACACATGATCCATTTTATGTCCATTTCACGCTGTACAATTAAATGGCCTCAAATATTTCTTTACATGGAATATTTGGAACTAGAGCATGATTGCAACACAAACATATAAAATAAAGGGAAAAATTTGTTCAAGAATAAAAATTTTCGTGGAACATATAAGTCAACTAACTATCCTAACGACAAATTTGAGATCAAACAACCACAAACTTATACACAATTACTACAATAAAAATAATTCCATACAACAGAGCAAGCTAAGTAAAATTATGCTATAACAAATTAGTAGGCTAAAAGATCAACATTGCCTAAATCGCAAGTTATAAATTACAGCCAACCTAATGCAGCATTGAAGCAAAACTCCAACAAACCAAAAGTATGTTTGTAGATTATACCGGCAAATCATCCATGGTGGCAAGCACAATTAAAGTGGTTAGCAACAATGAGTTATACAAACAACTAGCTAAACTATTAGACTACAATATCCTAAAGACTCAGAAAATGAACCTAACAACATAACTATATCTATCACTAACCAACAACAACTACTATACTTCTATATAAAAGGATTATACTTCGAACAACTAGCAACCAAACAAGGTCACATAACAAAAATATGCAGCAGAAGGCAACAGAAATAAAAAGTAAACTAGCTTGACTAATTATTCCTACAATAGCAGCAGACAAAATTATACAGAGTTACACTAATCAAATTAATTAAGCTATATATTGACTTAAATCTAGTTTCTCCTATGCTAATATTAAACTACTTGCAAACTATCTGACAAATATGGCTACAACTAACTAAAGTAATGAGAGAACTAATGCTAGGCTAAGGACTGAACCTAGAAGGCCAAAACTAAACCAAATACTAACATAGCATGGCTGAATCTATACTAAATTACTTACTACTCTAATATCTAACAAGCTAATCTAGTTGAACTTACAATGCTAGTAGGATGCAAAATACAGATTAGACTACACTAAGTCTAAATAACTACAACACGAATTATCATAGCCAATATTAGAAATAAATAGCCATACATACTCCCCTTTAAAGATGAACGCCTGTAAGCTGAGAAATTTTATTATTGGGGCTAATCATAATTTCCTCGCACTTGAATTTTTGTCCGCCCTCGAACATTTACAGTTGACACCGAGGAGAAACTACAGTTAAACCAAAAAACAAGTCATGAGTAGCTTTTAATTTTTTCCAAAGAAAAATGCAACAACAGCTAAAAGACATTTAACCAAACATATTTAGCGCAAGGGAAATGGCTAAAACTAATTCCAACATCAATCGAAATAAAGCACACTGCAATCATTAGGTATAGCACAATCTAATTTAACTAAAATCGTAAATGAGAACACCTATAAGCCAATATATCACACAACAACTCAAAAAATATATAAAATCATCATCTGGAATTTTAGAGAGGAATAACTAAAACTGCAAAACTAAATGTAAACTCTTAATAAGTTATTGCGAAATTATATGAAAACTCTTCATAACGAAAATAAAAAATAAAAAGGATAGTTCATCTGTGCATTTTCCATAAAAGAAAACGAGAAAACATAAAATCATTAAAAGTGTGTTTGCAATTACTCACTTTTTTTCTAACCATTTAAAAAAGCAAATTTCACCTAGAAGTGGGAAGACAACGAAGAGTTCTTCTTTCACATAGCTAAGTAGAAAATCAGATATTATTTCAAAGCCTTTAAATTCATTTGAGAAGAGCCATCATTCTATCATTACTCTGTAAGATCCTCGAAATAATTGTTCATTGTGATTTATTTAATAAAGAAACACCTAAAAACTATACAAAATGGATACCAAAGGAAACACTCAGTCACCACCAATGCTTATTCACTTCATTATATCAATAGAAATTCAAAAAACAATAGACAACCACCTCATACCTGCTAACAGAAGGGAAATTGAATTCCATTATAAAATCAATACCAACCTCAAAAATAAACCTCAAATTAAGCCCAACAAAGACAATTTACCTCACAAAAATTAAGTCAAAGTATAATTTAAACTCAAAAGGTTTCATATTTGAATCCACCATCAACAATTTTTGCAACCACAAACAATAATTCAAAGAAGACGACTATATTCAA